ATATAGAACTCGACGCGCTCTTTCATTTGAACCAACTTCAAGGTTCTACGTTAGGAAATATGGTTAGCAGACGTTCTACAAGTTAGACTAAATCCGTTGCGAGGGTGAAATTTTTTCTAACAAAAGTAGAGACTACCGATTTTCACCACTCGGCTCAGCCGAATGAACACGTTTTACTTTAAGTAACGCGTTCAGTGCCTGCTAAAAGGCGTCAGATATGTCAACTAATGCGTGTATAGGCACGTTAACTTACAAAAAATATTTGCTTGGGAATTGACTATACTCTATGCAATAGCCTTAACTATTCTTGCACCATAACCGTGAATATGCTCTTTGCCAATAACCTTAACTATGATCTTCTCCATCATGGCACGACTCTGATGCACTTGTTTTTTTTACAGTGGGAGATGATTAACTAATTTACCTCCTTTTCGAGATGAGTCATTGATGCCTTCTAATCTGAGGCAAAAGAGGTATGTCGTGAGTATTGTGCAAGAAGAGAATAATAAAATATTAAAAAAGTCATTTGATTCATCGATACACATACACAATGACTTCAGCCAGAAAGATGCAGTTTGTACCACCAAATTCAACAGAAATCAAGAAAGCAATCGGCAATATTGATGAGGTGTCGTAATTAGACTTGTTCACACTTACATTCAAATGTAGACTCTTGTCTATCATTTCAGCTACCAAAAGATATTCAATCTGCTTTAAGCACTAACATTGATCAAAGTTTTTTCCCAGTTCCTGTGCCGACTTCTTCCGATTGGTTATCACAACATAAAGAACCTGGACAAACATTACTATCATTTGAAAGACAGCAAATGAAAGCAACTCCTCATTCAACGTAAAAATGATGGAATTTGTTGGATATACATGTATTCTCACTCTCATTTCTCTCTTTCTCTCTCTCTCTTAATTCAGATATAAAACAATCTATGTTCAACCGTTTCAAGGTATCAATGAATTACGGTATGTGCATATGTTATTTAACTGAATATAAATGATGATATTTTCTGTAGCGCACCATCGTTAGAATTAATATCCAATTTTTCATGTGCTTTTTTTCATGGTTGTGACATTGAAGTATTACCAGCCGTTAATTTTCTACCCACAATGAAACGACGTATTAATGAATGGACAAAACAAGAACAATATTTAGTCAGTGATTTATTAGATTATTTGAACGAGATGAAATCGAAACGAAATATGCGCAAAGAATTAGTATGTATTGGAGTGACAATGAGCGATATTTATCCTGGTGAAAATTGGAATTTTGTCTATGGTCAAGCTATGATGACAGAAGGTTACGGAGTTTATTCATTTGCACGTTTCGATCCCTTATTTCCGTACAAAACAATAAATATTGAATTGACGGATGAACATCGAATTATAATTCTAAGAAGAGCAATAAAAGTATTTATACACGAATTAATGCATTTATTTGGATTACATCATTGTATCTATTATCTATGTTTAATGAACGGAGCAAATCATGAAAAAGAGATGGATCAACAACCATTGTATTTGTGTCCGGTTTGTTTGAGAAAAGCTTATTCAACATTTCAATTTAATATTGTTGATATGTATCAGACAATCATTGATCATTGTCAAAAATTAAAATTTGACTATGAAACAAATTGGTACACCAATAGATTAACACATATAAAATCCAATATAATTGAAACTGATACCAAAAAATAATTATAAGGACTATTCTTTGGACGTACTGTCAAATATAAAACTATTGAATAAATGTGATTTTTAAAAAAAATGAAGATTTTTTTCTATAATCCTTTGAGTCTTCGTGGTAAGTACACTTACCACCACTAAATTTCGACAGTTTTGGAGAATCTTCAAGAACTTTTGTCATACATAATCTTAATAATTTATTGTTGCGTCTCTACGTGAGTCAAATCAATTCGTAGGACGCGTGTATAATATTCATGATCTTTGTATAAAAAATTATTTTGTTTTACCATCATGTTTTACCAAATGTATATGCATAAGTAACGAAATAGTGCTTCTATCAATGCCTTCTTTAATTTATACCATGTCTCATCAACTTTGATTCAGCAGAAAAATTCGGAACTTCAACTCTCTATACCCATTGAAGACTTAAATTGATCAAACTGTTTATACACGGTACATGATGTTATAATATTTATCGGTGATTGACTCATTCTTCACACAGAGCATATTCTTCGGTCCACATATCCGATCCGAATATATCATAGTTCCATATTGATCCATAAGCGATATATGGTAGTATTAACGAATTAATTGTATTCATTGTAAATAACCAATTATTATGCTGAAAATCTATGTCTGTCAATGATGGCCTAAGAGCAAAGGATTTGATAATGTTAAATATTATTTCGTATGGACACAGAGAACATACCCCTCACACTAATAATACACAACACACACATCTTCATTACTTTTATGCATGATGAGAGAGTTGCAATAGAATATTTGTAGAATACTGAAAACAAAGTGTCAAATGTGATACAAATCAATACTTACAAATAAAACGCCTTAAGTTTGGGTTTTACATGAAAAGTAAGTCAATCTAAACATCATCAAAATAAAAATTCCTTTTTCCTTTTCGACAAGAAATAGACGCGACGATAATTGTCTACTACTACTACTGTGTTTTTGTTCCGATATAGATAACAAAGATAGAATAATAGTTAATAAATAATATCAGCGTTTCTCTAATGCAGAACTTTTTCGTTGTAAAGGGAAAGGGCTCAATTAATTTTACTACGAGTTCTAAAATCCACTATTAAATGAACGATGTTTTCTCTTAAAAACGTTTTTTTATACATGACTATTCGTATTTTCCAAAATTCTCGGTCTAGAAAGATGCTAAAGTGTTCAGGTTGATTTTAAAACAAAACTTATCAACTGTAACCTCTAGAGTTGGCGTTATTTCGTCACTACAGTGTAACGTTTGTATTTTGAAGTTTTAAGGGCAACGATTTTTGACAAAATTGTACAATAATTGCAACTGATTTAAATGATTTAAGTATTCTTTCTTGTGGTATTTCGACCTTAAACGGTTATTCTCGAACTTTATTTTAACAATGATAACAGTAGATACAACTGCATGATATTTTTGCCTTTCTTTTATATAGATGGTAAATAGAAAGAAGAACATTCTTTTTTAAATATGGCGCCATGTTTAATATTTAAAAAACCTTGACATCATTAGCAAAGATGATATTTCTCTAAATCACTCAATTTAATGATGGTACAAAACGTTTATCAGCAAGTGGCCTAATCGAATCTTTTCCGATTCCGCTTGGATATACACATAGAGAGGACTGACAGATCGGCCACGTTCAGTTTTGGTTTAGTTGCATGGATGAGCAACGATTCTTTAACAAGGGGACGATATTTATGCTGATATTCTGTTAAGATTTTAATATCATTGGCGGTTATTAAGTGTCTCGTTAAGGAACAGTGTTTCCCGATCGCTTATTTGGCAATGCGTTGCTCTCTAGATTTACCATTACCAGTATCACCACGTACCGCAATGAGATCATCAATTTCTTTTTGATCTAATTTTGTGACAGAAGAAGGTAGCTTACCATTCCTAGATCGTGCAATCGGTCGTGATGTTAGACGACGACACTTTTTCCCAATATATTTTTCGCCTCAAGTAGGGCAAGTACTCTCTAAAAAAAATCCGTAGCTTACAAAACGAATATCGGTTTTGGCATTTGCTCCTAATAGAAACCGATATCCGTATCGTACAGTCCTGCATACCCGTTTCGCAGAATACGTTTCAACGTTTT